ACCCTTGTCCGAACTCTCCCCTCCGCCGGCGTCCTTGGGCGGGCCGCCGATCCAGTTGGACAGCACGCCCGCGCCGAACTCCCACCGTGGCACGTACACCTGCGCCCCGGAGGCGTTGCGCGTCGTCCAGTCGCACAGCGATGGGTCCGTGTCCGCGCCGAAGTCGCAGATCTCTGCGCCGAGAGAAGAGCTTGTCAGTCAAGGTCGAACCAGGCGTGACTTACAGGAATAATTATGGCTCGACCGGCGCCAGAAAACTGTTGTTGTCTAGGATCCCCGGGCGATTGGTCGTGCGCACTCACCTCCTGCAGACTCCTGCCGCTTGAGCCGGAACTGCAACCGAGGCAAGGAAACAAGGTTGATTGATTAATCGGCCCGCGTGTCGGTGGCGGCCGGTCACCCACGCGGTCACCTTCCTGGTCACTCTTGCGGTCACCCTCGCGGTCACCCACCGCCGGTCACCGCCGGTCACCGCCCCGCCCACTACTTACCGTGTCGTCGACGGGGGCTGGGGTGGCCACAGGGCGCGGGCCCGCGATGGCCCCGGCGGCCACCCCTCCAGAAGCCAATAGCCGCGCCGCCGAGGTGGTCCGAGGCAGCACCAAGACGACCAGGATCCCGACGACCGTCAGCGCGAGGGAGCGCGTCCTGAGGGATCGGAGTAGTCAGGTTCAGATTATTTCCCTACCCACGCATCCAGCAGTCGTTCCGTTTCTCTCCCTCTCTCTCTATTTTCTCCTGTGGCGACCTTTGCCCTCGTCTTTTGCCCCAGACCATGCGCCCCGGCCCTGATATGCAGTCGTATGCCATTTGCGTTTTCCCCGGGCTTTCCCCCCAGACAAATCAGGTGAAGTTTACGACAGAAAAGAGGGGGTAGAGGGGGAGAGCAGGGGCAGGAGGGAGGAGCAGTGGAGAGGGGCAGAGGCGGGGTGTTGGCGGGGTGTGGGGCAGGGGGCGGCAGCACATCATTAGCATAACACTCCAAAGCGCGGGAATGCAAATCCAGGGCGACGAGGGCGCAGCGTGGCGCGGCGTGGCGCGGTGTAGTGGCCGCTGCGGCGCGGCGGGGTGGGAGCCGTGCGCTGTGCACGGGGCGGGAGCGCGGGGAGCGCAACCTTGAGGCGGCCAACAGACGGACAGCCGGCCGGCCGGACTTCCAGCCCCGGCCCGGGCCTGTCCGCTGCTGTAGCGCCTGAATGCGCCCGAGTGCTCAGCGTCGGTCGGAAACGGAATAGGGGTCGCGGCCGTCGAGCCACCCTCTCTGACTGGACTGGTCAGCAAGAAAACCATTCCGATGTTATTTCCATCGACGTTGGCGGTGGTGGCCTCGCGGTGTGCGGCGTGATGCCTATCATCGCCGGGCCGGTGCCAGGCCTCGTTACCAAAAAATGAGCACAAGGACGCGTCCGTCATGTCCGTCCAGCGCCCGTCCAGCCCTTCCCGTCCGCAGCTCCGACCGGGCCGATACCGCCGGCCGACGGCACTCGATCGAAACTTGTCGCGCTTTTTCGAACGGCACGGTACGGTGCGGGGCGCGGCGGGTAGGGCGGCTGTTGAAGTGGAGCCGGCACGGCCAGAACAGTCTGGCCCGACCCGGCCCGGCGGGGGCGCCCAACGGACGATGGCAGATGACCTACATAGTACCGCCCATCGTTTGGTCCGCGTCGATGTAATC